AGTAGAAAAGCCTCTTGGTTGGAAGGCTACTAGATTCCTCTCCTCTGCAACCATCTGAGAAACCAAATCAAGCCAGTTTCTCTGACCTCAGTTGGATGTGGGCAGTAAAAACCCGCCTCCTGAGGCTCTTCTGGCTCTGAGCTGGCACCACAGGACCGCACATGTCCAGCCTTCCCTCAAAGATGCCACCGGCCAAAGCATTCCAGGTCCCCTCCCTTTCACCATGGCTGCTGGATGCTGGCCCACTTCCTCCAGCCAGGAGTCCCTCAAGCTGGGCTTCTCAAAGAACTACGGAAGTGTCGAGGCTGAGTGTGCCCCAACGGACTCAGCATCCCTCAGCCCTCTGCATAAAATGGCTCACGTCACCCCACTGTCACCACTGGGTTCCAGGAACTCACCCTGTATTCTCTGGCCACATGTGCTGTGCTCTTGGGCCTGGGAACTGGAGGCGAGGTAACACAGAAGCCCCCCTTAGGTGGCTCAGTGCTCAGGATGGGTGGCAGGTGGGTCGCCAAAATGGAAATGTGCAAGTGCTCACTTCTGATGGCCCAGAGCCAGAGGAGGTGACAACTGATACGGGAGCAGGAGGAGGGCCAGGACCTGGCGAAGTGTGCCGGGCCAGCCCAAGGGAGAGCGCACAGTCAGCACGGACATCTGAAGCTTCAGAAGGGATGGGCACCATGCTAGGTACCCAAGAGGGAAAAGAAAATCTGATCTCAAAGAAGTTACGTGGAAAATGGCCCGAGCACAGACGGAGAGGTGACAAGCACCACCTCCACCTAGAGCAGAGGCTGGCGTGGAGTGAGAGCCCAAAGACTGAATGAATCGTAGAACGGATGAGATTCCACCACATTTCGGTCAGCTATCCACTTGTTAGAACAAAAATATCCAGCAGCAGCAGTGTAGAGGAGGCGAGGTTTATTCGGCTCATGGTTCCGAAGGTTCAGTCTGTGACCCACTGGCTCTAATCAGAAAGATCAAAGCAGAAGGGCGAGGTGGAGCAGTGTGCTGCTCATCCCGTGGCATCCAGGAAGCAGAACACATGTGGAGAACCCAGGGAGAGAGAGAGGCACTCTTCTGAGGACACCCTAGATTGCTTCCTCCCACTGGCCCCTCCTTCTGGATGCACATTCAG